ATCTTCTGCCTGAAAATATTAAATAACCACTCCCCGAAATACATGTTTCCAAGATATATGACTTGAACTGGCCACTGAAGGAAACCAGAGACTATGTGATATATAGAGTTTGCTATATCCACAATTTCTGACATCCATGGGTGGACTTGAAACCAGTCCCCCATGGATACCGCAGTTCTAATTCCCAATTAGCAGAGAGCATACCCTCCTCTCATTGCTGCCACTACTCCAGTTTCTCCCACCATTGCTGCCACTTTTCCACTAGACTCTTCCTTCCACCACAGTCTAGTCCCAAATGCCTTTCTTTGAAAGTTCTAGTCTAAGAACAAAATAATGTGGGCAAGGTGGCCACAGAGGCTGCCTGTGCTGCCCTGCCACAGGGGTTCTCCCTGGCCACTCTGTCTGCAAAGCATTGCTCTGAACGTCTCCTCCAAATGAATCATCCGGGCATTGTCAGGATCTGAACAGCCTGTCCATCTGCTTCATGTCTGTGGGATTGTCCGCCAAGGCAAAGAGTGAGGAGGCTGCTCAGGGTGGAGTTGAGGCAGGAATTGGGCTTCCCATAGGATCTTGTCACATTTCAAAGAGCCCAATACTGCTTTCAGTCTTTAGCAAATGTCATAGGTGTTTACAGGTGAGGAAAGTTCTTCAAAGCAGTAAGGGTGGCCAGCTCAACAAGGCGGGGCATGATTCGACATCTCTCAAGAGAATAGCTTCACTTTGGCTAACTAGAGAGCCAAGCCTGAATGCTATGAACTTTGTGTATGGAAAGTGTATCTTAGACAGAGGTCTGCTACTTAGTTCGGGAAGTCTGCTATGTCCCTTAGTGAAGGCTAGTCACTCATTTATGTCCCTTAAAATAACAGTTTGTTTTGACCAAACCCAGCTGTTCCTCTCAGTATCCCTCAGATTGTCCAGTGTTTTGTCTTGCCTTCAAAGGTCATTCCTTCTTTCAAGCGGTTAAAAAGCCACAATCCATTCCACTTTGTGAAGAAAAGTAGAAAATCCCATGCTCATAATTTTCAGACAGTGAATGTGAACCACTAGTGGGGTGCAAAAGTATTTAAGCAGAAAGCAGGATTTTTGTAGCATAAGTTATGGAAGTTCTGGTAGGGAAAAGTACTGAGACAGACTGCTATGACTATTTCTGTGAAATTATGGAATTATTATGTATTATTATTTTGGGGTAGTTGGGATGGGGTTAGTTAGAGCAATAATATGTATTCCTAAGCATAGTATTCAAGTTTGTATATGTTATTCTATGGCTGAAATCCTGCTATCCTAGTGTAGTAAGTTGCACTAGAGTAGGCCCTCAGCTGGGATTTTATGAGTCACTTCCTCACTAACTTCCACTGATGCAAATGGTCCTACTCTACTTGTGACTTGCTACACTAAAATGAGTTGCAACTAGAGCAGGCCCATTTGAATCAATGGAACATAAGAAGTTGACTCACAAATCCCCACTGGTTTAGTGGGCCTGTTCTACGGCAACTTCCTACATTAAGCAACAGGATTAGACATGGGAATTTATATTTGTATCCCAGGTGATATGAATATGAAGCGTGGCACCACAGGTGCCAAGGAGGTCCATTCCCACCAGCCCAGTCCACTCATCAATCTTTGCATGACACACACAGACATCATTGGTAACATTTCACCAATTGCAGAAGTAGCCCGGCTTGCACTTCCCTGCTTTACTGTCCACTCCAGCAAGGAGGTGAGATGATGAGTCTCCCTGCTCAGCTGATGAGTGGTCAGCAGCACAGGGAGGTGGGGAAGCACTGGCTAGGCGAGGTGAGATGATGAGTCTCCCTGCTCAGCTGATGAGTGGTCAGCAGTGCAGGAAGATGAGGATGCACTAGCTGGGCTACTTCTGTGATTGGTGTGCTGTTAACCAATGCTGGCTGACCAGCCAGTTCTGGGGGAGGGGGTGTCGAAGGGACCTGGCCAGCTGTGGTGGTCGTATTCGTATTTTTCTCCCCCAGGAGAGGAATACACATATCCCACTTTGAATCAGGATTCCACCTGTGTTTTACAGAGATTGTAGCAATAACATTCACAATCAATGTTACAGCATTAAGATTCTCTTCAACTAATGGAATTATTTTGTGTGTAGGCATTTATTCTCAACAATACTGCAAACTTCTGTGCCCTTAAAATTTAACTCTAACAGATAAATACAATAGCAGAATATCTGAAAACATATAAAATTCTTCTTCAGGAGAAGTGAGCTTTTTCTCTCCATCATGGTGGGAGCCAGGGTTTTCAAGAAAGTAATTGATGGAGCCTGAGATATGAAAGGCTGAGAACTACTAACTTTTTCTGATTTAAGACACGGAAGATATTAATAATATTCTTAATTTTCAGAATGATAACCAATTTTGTAAGGTGACATCTCAAGTCTTGTCTGTTTCACAGATGATCCCCACCCCAAAAGAGAAAGTGGAAGTCTCCATGCACAGCAAGGACATTCATTTTAAGTTCAGCTCTGTTTTAACATACTTCAGACCGTGTTTCCTGAGACAAATGAGGGAGGGTAATCATATGGCTCAACAACTAAAAATATTGGACAGCAACAACCTGTAAAGTTAAATAAAATATTATCTAAGCCTGCAGTGTAGGTAGAAGTTCTTTATAAAGTTTTGGATAAATCTCTTCCAGCGTGCTTAGGCATGGAGTTTATTAATTTCCACAGTGACAATGAGAACTAGGTTTACATCATAAATATAGCTGTAAACATTGAAGCTACCCATTGCCTGTTACAACATACCCATATTCAACAAATTTACCATGGTTTACCAGAATCTCTGTACATGATCTGGTCAGAAAGTATATTCTTGCAACAGAGAGAGAATTAAGTGTGAACTAAACCCAATGACATTTTAAAATCGGCATACAGTATTTAGTAGGCTAAATTAGACATGATGGTAGCAGTTCTTTGGCCTTAAACATGTCACTTTCTCTCTTTTCCCCCCCTTCCACTGCAGCTTTTAATCAGCCTGCCTTCACCTTCCTTCTTTCTCTCTGGACCAAACTTCCACTCTCATCCGGAAGGAGGGAACAGACAAGCAAAATACGGCAATAGCTATCCTGCCTTGCCATCCTGTTGCTTTGAATTCAGAAGGCAGCTATATGGTCAGGAGTTCAAAGAAAGAACTGGAACAGGATAGTTCAAGAGATTATCAGCAATAGTGCTCTATTGAAGGGTCTTGGTAGATGCCCAAGGGTGCTGACCTATGATGCTGCTAGCTTATCTTCTGGAGGCCCATTTTCCCTCAAGATAGTTTCTTCTCAGCCTTTTGCTTCCTTTATTGACATTCTAGCTGAAGTTGAAAATGCTTGGAGAGGAGCTAATTTCTGAACGGCAGAAAGAGCTCCTGCATTTATCTGTGTGCCTCCTCAGAGCTTGGCGGATTTGTTTCTGCTCCTCGTTGGCCAGTATTCTGTTCTTGCTCCTGCCCGTATAACCAGAAGAAGCAGATTGCCTCTACTTTAAGACTTCCTGCTTTGATACTGGATTGCATTTGTTTATTTATTTTATTTATATCCCGCCTATCTGGTCGGTTAAGACCACTCTTAATTGGGACTCATGCACAATGAGGCAAAGTTTAATGCAATCTGAAATTAAAGCAGGAGTTCTTTGATTAGCGGCAATTTGCTGCTGCCAGTGACATCAGTCTCATTACACCATTGGAGTAATGGAATAGGATTCGAGATGGCTATGAATTGCACTTTGGTGGTTTGGCAGGGTGCCCACACAGATGTTCCACAGGCGCTGCATGCTTCCCTTCCTGACCTCCTCTGCCCACTCGCCAGCTGCGGCGTGTTCCTCTGCCTTTCTTGCGCTATTGTCTACCCACTGGCAGCACGACAGGCTTCCCTGCCCTGCCTCCATGTCTGAGTGGACTTCTCTCATGGAGAAAGTGGAGGAGGGAAGCACACTGCAACCGGTGAGTGGGTGATTTGCACAGAGGAAGTGGGGAGGCAAGTAACCAGCGCCTGCAGAATATCTGCGTGGGCACTAGGCCAGACCACTGAAGCATAGTTTGTTCCCATCTCAAAACAGGATACTGGACAATGTGATGTTTGACAGTCCATTGCTATTACTTGTCACAATGTTTAATAGTAAATGGGTGCATTGTTTCACTACTTTTCTCTTTCGTTCTTCAGTGGGGGGGAATCTTGGGGTTGATAAGAGAATGGCGTGAAACCTATCTCTGTCACAGTACCTCTCAATATGCTCTTTAAAAGTAACTAATGTATGTTAGTTGTATGTTAACAATGTATGTTAACATGGTGTATTACACTGTATCCTACTTGTTACGCCTACTTGTTACATTACTTCTGAGATATGATGTCATGGTATTCTTGTTTAACTCCCCTTCACCATAACTCTTTGGGATAACTATCTTACCTCTAACTGGACACTTCCAATTTCTGCTGTCCTTTGTGTTTTTTAAATTCACTTTCTAGACAGTAAATTCATGTTTAAATTCACATTCAGTGCTGTAATGTCTAGTTAGATTTTAATGTTAACATAGCTTAATTTAACTTGCTTTAGGCCTTAGTTTCTCATTTGCCTAGTTTTTAAACATTTGGATTTTGTATATTTGAAAGTTGTGAATAAATATAATGTTGCTTGCCGTTTGTCGAGTCAGCTGTGTTGGTATTGGCATTCATGCAAAAGGCAAGATTTGTCCCTTAAAGGGACTGGTAGGGCATGTATTTTAGTTTTTCTTTGATCTCTTTTCAAAATCTCATTGTTAGAGCAATTACAAAATGCCGTACTATAATTAGTATGGCTGCCTGAATGTCTGCCGTGAGCAATGTTACTGGCACTGGATATATTTAGACATAGATCTTATTGTTTCTAACAATGAAAAGGTTTTTACATTTTATGTTATGGGAATAAAATGTGTGCATATTATACAGGAGCAAAGATACCACTTAAATAAAATCTGACTGCCTCCTTTCCCTCTGTATTTCTTTTTTAAAAACAGGTAATAGAAGACAACACAGGCGTTCGGAGAGTGGTGGTCACACCTCAGTCTCCTGAATGTTACCCTCCCAGCTATCCTTCTGCCATTTCACCAACCCACCACCTACCGCCATACCTGGCCCACCACCACCATTTCATACATAACTCTCATACGGCGTTCTATCCACCTGTTACTGGGCCTGGAGATATGCCGCCCCAGTTTTTTCCTCAGCATCATCTTCCTCCTACAATCTATGGAGAGCAAGGTAAGCTGTATACTGTGAGGTTTCCAACGTGGTCTACGAGACCTCAAGTGTCCCCTTCCCCATGATAATTATTGTTACAAGAATTATGTGAGGTATGAAAAATAAAAATGTGGAGGATCTAAAACTAAATGAGACTCGATATTTGTGGGAAATAATTCCACAACTCCAAAGGGAAAAGAATACGGAACATGTTTTAATATTTGCAGTTTTTGCAAAGATCTCAGTCTGTGGTTTTGAAGTTCCAGAAGAGGAGATTTTCAACCAAAATTTGGAGTTTATCTCCGAGCCTGAAAAAGAGTGTGCCCTTGGCTCAGGAATATCTCTTTATAGTTTTATTAGAAGCTTGCAGGCTCTGAGAGACATTGAGGAGATGGACGAGAAGAACATCCTGACCAAAATCTTATTGGTGTTCATGTAATGTTTTACGTAATTAGCCGTGACTAATTTGCTAGATGCTGGGGATCTAGTGCCTGGCCACAAGCTTGATTGTGCCATCAAGATGCATACAGGTATTTTCCCCATCCTCCTGAAACTTCTCTGAGAAGCTCAGTGTTCTTCTCTGAGGTAAATAGTACAGTGGTGCCTCGCATTATGACGTTAATTCATTCCAGCGAAATTGCTGTAGAATGAAAACGTCATAATGTGAAAAGAAAAAACCCATTGAAATGCATTAAAACCTGTTTAATGCGTTCCATAGGGCTGTAAACTCACCGTCCAGGGAAGATCCTCCATTTTCGCTGCCTGTGCAGCGAGGAATTCGTCCCAGAAAACAGCGGGGGGCCATTTTGTTTTCCTGGCGGCCATTTTGAAACCACCGATCAGCTGTTGGAAAATCATCGTTTTGCGAAGAATCGGTTCCCGAAGCAGGGAACCAATAATCGCAAAGTGAAATTCCCCCATAGGAAACATCGTTTTGCGATCGCAAAAGTGATCGCAAAAAGTTCATCGTAATGTGGTTTCATCGTTAAACGGGGCATTCGTAACGCGAGGCACCACTGTATGTTGAAATTTCTGCTTTATCTGCTGCTTCTCCCTTTCTCTGCTTAGCTGGGAAGCTGGCCTACCTGTTGTACAGGCTGAGGTGATGTATCTCAGACAACAGTGGTGGGCAGGTGGAGGCATCTTTCAAGCTGTTCCTTTGGATTCCTTGGCTGTTTTCCTTTGCTGGATGACAGAACAGTGCAACTTGGACCTCCTAAAAATAACCTTTTGTCTGAAGTGTGACAGGGACACCATTATTAAAGTAAAATTCAGCTGCCATTCTAGTCAGTTTCTGTATTTGGAATGGGGTGTGGGTGTTACTTTACCTGTTGCTCAGATGTCCTTATCTTGCTCGGTGGATGACTTTTGCCATGATGTGGATGGCAGTCTTGGTTAATCTTACTGGTCTGATTGGTGGAAGGACTGCTAGGGCGATGTCTATGGTTCATTTTATGAACTTCAGAGAGTCTCATCTACTGTGAAAGGATAAAAATAAGTGGTCTGCATCAAGTGGTGTGCAGAATGGCTGGTTCTCCAGATACAGTTGGATTGCAGCTCCCATCAATCTTTGGTAGCATAACCAGTGGGAAGGAATACTGGGATTTGCAGTTCTGAGACATCTGGAGGGCTGCACTTTATCCACTCCCAATCTAGATGAGTAGGAAGTGAATTTGGATGAAATGCGTTGGAGGATTCCAGAACTTCATAAGCTTGTGGAGTGCTATGAATCTGTTTCCTTGGAGTACTTTTTAAAAAGTAGACACAAATCTCTCTCAGGGATGGTTAAAGCCAAAGGCATCCTAAGGGGTTGTGGTAGTTCATGTCTATGATTAGCACTTCTTTTTTCTCTCCTGCATGAATTTCTCCAACCATGATCAGGTTAGCAAGACAAATCTGATCTGGCAGGTCATCCCCTGGAGGTAGTGGCCAGTGTAAAAAACAAATACGAGGCTCTGATTTTTCCCTAATGGAGGTGAAGCACCTTTACATCCCTTGTCATATCAGATGTCCAGTGACTTCTCAAAACCAGAGCAGGAGTTATAGTTGTTGTTTTTGCTTGAGCCCTTCTCCTTCAAAGGAATGTGCAAGGGGTCGCTGCATTGTCGGGTGGTCCTTGAGGATAACAGGGTAATCCTTAATCCACTCCAAACATATATATATAACCTGAAGTGTAAGAAGAAGCAATCTAAGCAGTGAACTGTTATGTCTTTCCCAGGCTTGAGCACCAGTCTTTGTATCATTTATAAGAATGATATATATTAGCAGAGATCAGTAGCAGCCTAATGTGGCAGCTATTCCAAAATAATCTTTAAGTGTGTGGACTACAACTCCCAGAATTCTTTAGCTGTCACGGCCAGTGTGCAGGCTGGCTAATGGTTCTGGAAGCTGTGGTCCAAAAGCTTATTTTTCTGAATCTGATGATTCAGATTCCATGAAATGAGAGGTAGTGTCAGGGGACTTCTCCAACTTTTTTATTTCATTAGCCAACCTATTTGCCAAAAAAAATTTAATTTCTTTCAAATTTGTTGTTAGGATAATACCCAGGGCCAAACCCTAGCCATCAAAATGGAAATCCAGTATTGTTTTGCTAAATCAGACTGAGACCCTGTGTACAACACAACGCGATTAGATTAACTTTGTCTTACCTCAGCATGCAATCTCTGGAAGTAAGCCTTGTTGGTTTCAGTAGGACTTTCCTTGACACCCATTTTAGATTAGCATTCAAGAGGTATACTTTTTGTAAAATAGAAAATTACTAAACATGTTCTTCTGTTTCATCCCTCAGTGGTTTTATCTCCTCCTTAGGAGACTCCTAGTTTAAGGACTCCTAGGTACGGATGTCTCTGGTTTAAATGTAAATACATAAGAATACATAATTCTAAACAAAATAATGTTTATTCAGATTAGAATCTTAAATGCTCCTATTTGGTAGCTACACACATGGCTGTAAGCATCTTATGCTCCTCACACCTTGCCTCGAGTCTGCAACTAGGATAAAACAACAGTTCTGCAACTGAGCAAATTTGTGATGGATTTCCAATTCTTTTCTACCTCAAAATAAATGGAGGGTCACAGGTTCCCCACCCATACTCTATAGCAAACATGATTCAGAAATCCATAAATTCATAATTTCAGGTGTTACACTGAGTTGTGTTGCAACGTGTTTACTAGTTTCCCTCTATTTGACAGTGGTTAGGCCTCATCTTGAGTACTGGGTCCAGTTCTGGATACTGCACTTTAATAAAGATTCAGATAAAATGGAGCAAGTTCAGAGAAGAGCAACAAGGATGATCAGGAGATTGGAAACTAAGCCCTGTGAGGAAGGACTGAAAGAGCTGGGCATGTTTAACCTTAAGAAAAGGAGACTGAGGGTATATATGATGGTATGACAATACTTGAAAGATAGACATATAGAGGAGAGGCAAGATCTGTTTTTGATCATCCCTGAGTGCAGGACACATAATAATGAACTCAGATTATAGGAAGCTAGTTGAATATCAGGAAAAAAATTTTTTTACTATTAGTGCAGTATAACAATGGAACCAGTTACCTAGGTAAGTGGTGAGCACTCCAAAGTTGGAAGCATTCAAGAGAAAAATTATATAATCACCTGTCAGATATTCTTTGATTTGTATTCCTGCATTGAGGAGGGGTTTGGACTCAATAGTCTTCTAGGTCCCTCCCAATTCAATTATTCCATCACCTGTGATTCTATTAATTGAATCTTATTGACTAAAATCCTCTAGGTCAGGGGTCTCAAACTCAATTTACCTGGGGGCCGCTGGAGGCAGAGCCTGGGTGAGGCTGGGCCGCATCAGATTTTCCGCCAAGCAGAGCAAGAGCCCGAGGAAGCCGCCCAGGAGTTTCCTTAGCCCGGCTGGGGCTCCGAGGAGGAGGAGGAGTGCGCGGG